CGCCTTAAAACTTTGAGCCAACTGAACTAATGTTCTTCTCTTTCCTCAAACAAAGATTTCTGAGAGGGTGGTTGGCGGGTGCTTCTTTCCTATGAACATCTATCGTCTTTATCTCCCCTCCTTCTTTTTTGTGTTTGTTACTCTCTTGTAACACCTCTAATCTTCGGCACTTATATGACCTTATTGTGTTGCAAGTGCCGTAAAACATTTTCTAAAGCCTAAAGCTAAAAAGATTTCTATTCTCGTCGTCCACAGACCATGTGTGCCATCGAGGCCCAGCTGGAGAACATGCTGGGAACGTTCAGCTGTAGGTTGAAAGGTAAGGTCACGTCCAGGTGGCAAAGGTCACAGCTGAAGTTCTAGGCCACCAGTGTCAAACTTATGGCCCCGCCCCACGAGTCTCTTTTAGCCCGCCAAAGAATTATGTTTTCGGCCAGCAGTTCAGATGCACTGAGCCTAAAGTTTTGATTTTTTTTCTTTCTTTCGTCGCAGTTGCTTAATTTGTGGTACTGGCTTCATGTGCTCAAAACAAATTTCAAATTCTAAATGTTGAAAAAGGGCAAGAAAAGATAGGCTACATAAACTAGGTTCAATTGTCAAGAGAATGGAACACGGTTGGGTTGTTTTTTTTTTCTTTACTGAAAAATGTTGCTTTCTAGGCTGAAAATATTTGGACAGCTGGCCTACAATATTTGGCCCATGAGAGAATTCCAGGTAGTTCATCCTGAGACTCTCTCTCCATAACACAGAACCTTACTCAAAACTTTGACCCTATTCGTACGACCGTACGACGTGTTTTACTATCGTATCCATACGACGAGGAGAACCCTGTGCCACCATTTTCCAAAGAGGAAATTTACTCGTTAATCCAATCCGTACGCTTTGCATAGTAGTCTGTCAAAATGATTTTTACAGAAATACTGTAAGGTTCAAAGAGATCTTCGCACGAGAAATATTTTAAAATGTGAAGAATACAACCCCAGGTATTGCAGGGTTCGCCCGCCTAGTCCCCGGCGATGTGTTTGAGGTGGTGATCAGGCACGGCTTGTATTGTATGTCTACAAGTGTGTCTGTCTGTCTGTCTATCCCCAGTGGGTGGTTGGGTGGTGCTCTGGTGTGGTTTGCTCCTTCTTTCCTATCAAACATCTATATCGTCCTGATCTCTCCTTCATCTTTTTTATGTTTGTAACTCTCTTATAACGCCTCTACTCTTCGACACTTATATGACCTTATTATGTTGCAAGTGCGGTAAAACTCTTAATAAAACTAAACTGCCTGCCTGTCTGTCTGTGTGTCCCCAGGTATCGCAGGCTTCGCCCGCCTGGTCCCCGGCGATGTGTTTGAGGTGGTGATCAAGCACGGGGGTCAGAAGTGGAAGAGCAAAGGTCGGATGGAGAAGAACAACCTGCAGCGCTGGGACACGCCCGAGTACAACTTCAAGTGTCTGGTGGGGGAGACGCTCAGCATTAAGGTATGGGGGAGTGGGTGGTTGGCGGGTGCTCTGGTGTGGTTTTTCTCCTTCTTTCCCATCAGACATCTATATCGTCCTTATCTCCCCTTCTTCTTTTTTATGTTTGTTACTCTCTTGTAACACCCCTTATCCTCTGGCACTCGTATGACCTTGCCGTATGCAGTTGCGAGCGCAGTAAAATCTCTACCAAAACTACACTAAGGTAGGAGGGAGGCTTTAACGTATAGGGGGACAGTAAGGTATAGGGGGACATTAATGTATGGGGGAGACATTATGGTATAGGGGGACATTAATGTATGGGGGAGACGTGGTATAGGAGGACATTAATGTATGGGGGAGACATTATGGTAGAAGGGAGGTATTGAAGTATGTGGAGAGACAAGAAAGTATGAGAGACACATTATGGTATGGGGGAGTGCGCCCGAGTACAACTTCAAGTGTCTGGTGGGGGAGACGCTCAGCATTAAGGTATGGGGGGACATTAATGTATGGGGGCCGGAGGGAGTTGTACTAAAAGTAAATTTACATCTAAACAGGTTGCCAT